CTGCCTTGTTTCTTAAATTACTCATATCGGTGAGATCATATGATAATTGTCTTTCTCTGCTTGACTTATTTCGCTTAGCATAGTACCCTCTAGTTCCATCCATGTCTTTGCAAATGGCTATTCATTTTTTGATGGCTGCATAGTATTCCATTGTGTGTGTGTGTGTGTGTATCACATCTTCTTTATCCATTCATCTGTTGATGGACATCAAGGTTCTTTCCATAGTTTGGCTATCATGGACATTGCTGTCTAAACTCTGAGGTGCACATACCCCTTTGGATCACTAGTTCTGTATCTTTGGGGTAAATACCCAGTAGTGCAATTGTTGGGTCGTAGGGTAGCTCTATTTTTCAACTTTTTGAGGAGCCTCCATACTGTTTTCCAGAGTGGCTGCACCAGCTTGCATTCCCACCAACAGTGTAGGAGGGTTCCCCTTTCTCTGCATCCTTGCCAATGCCTGTCATTTCCTGACTGGTTAATTTTAGCCATTCTGACTGGTGTGAGGTGGTATCTCACTGTGGTTTTGATTTGTATTTCCCTGATGCCGAGTGATGTGGAGCACTTTTTCATGTGTCTGTTGGCCATCTGGTTGTCTTCTTTGCAGAAATGTCTGTTCATGTCTTCTGCCCATTTCTTGATTGGATTATTTGTTCTTTGGGTGTTGAGTATAAGTAAGTTATTTATAGATTTTGGATACTAGCCCTTTATCTGATATGTCATTTGTAAATATCTTCTCCCATTCTGTCAGTTTTCTTTTGGTTTGGTTGACTGCCAAAGGAATTTTTATACGTAAAACCAGAGTTACAGAATCCTAGAGGTCTGGCTGATGTTAAGCTAAGGTTGCCTTTTGCCTCTAGCAAAGTATTAACGACAAGGCAGTTGAGTTCCTAGAGTAAGGTCACTCTGCCTGTCTCAAGGACTTGTCTGTCAGTGGGCTGCAAGTAGTAAGGAAATTGAATTCTTTTTGTTTAGCCTTTGTAACCTACATTACTACCACATGACCCAACTATTTTATTCCAAGTGTACCCAAGAGAAGTGAACACATCTGTCCACGCAGTGAACACTCTGTCCATGCAGAGACATTTCTGGCTGTGTTCATGACAGCATTTTTCATAAATGCCTAAATGTTCAACTTCAGTGACTATTAACCGATGAACAGATGGACAAAAATGTGGTATATCGCATGATGGAACATTATTCAGCCACAAAAAAGGAATGAAGGATTGATTAATGCCACAGCATGAATGAACTTTAAAAATATTCTGCTAAGCAAAACAAACCAGTCGCAAAGCCAAGCCACATGTCATATGATGCCATCTATATGCAATTTCTAGAAAAGTCACATTTTAAGAATTCATTTATGTATATATTTATTTGTTTATGGAAAGAATGGTCTTTTTTTTTTTTTTAAGATTTTACTTATTTGACAGAGAGGGACAGCAAGAGAGGGAACACAAGCACGGGGAGTGGGAGAGGAAGAAGCAGGCTTCCCACCAAGCGGGGAGCCCGATGCTGGGCTTGATCCCAGGACCCTGGGATCATGAACTAAGCCAAAGGCAGCCGCTTAACGACTGAGCCACCCAGATGCCCCAAAAGTCACATTTGTAGAGATAGGAAGTAGATTAGTGGTGGCCTGGGGCTGGGGCTCAGGACAGAGATTAATTGTAAATGTGCATGAAGGGTCTTACTGGGAAGATGAAAATGTTCCAGAACTTATTTATGGTGATGATTTCATCACTTGTTAAGGTTACTTAAAATCATCAAATTCTATACTTGGGATGGGTGAATTTTTTGATATAAAATATACCTCAATAGAGCTATTAAAAAGGGGTCTTAGAGATGACATGGAGAAGATGGGTACAGCTGTTCCCCAAATAGGCACCCAACTCCCAGAGGCTTGGGAGAACTTCCAAAAGGCCTCTGGGAGCCCATGCAAGCTCTGGGGCTCCCCTATCCTGAGAGAAAGAAGGACGCCATCACTGAGTGCCTTCGGATTGCTCCCATCCAAGGGCTGCCTCTCTGTAATGTGGCTTTGCCCTTCCTCCTATCCAGACATGGAGTTGGTTCTTCATCTTCTTGACTCTTGGCTGGCCCTCGTGACTTGCTCTGGTCAATGGATACGGCAGAAGTGACACGGCACCATTTCAAAGCCAAGGTCTCAAGAGGCTTTGTAGTTTACACCTTTGCTTTCTTGGACCCTGCCCTGAGAATGTCTTCTGAGGGAGCTAGTCCAGCCTGATAGAGCAGGAGAGGTGACATGGTGGGGGAGGGAGAATTGAAGGGGTCCCCAGCCAAGGTCACCAACTGTGAGACACATGAGGACATCTTGGACCTTCCAGCCCTGCTGATACAGAATGATACACCCCCGGGTCCCACCAGTGAATATTCACCCAGCAGATCCATGGCACTGTAAAAAACAAAGTGGCTGTTGTTTTATGCCGTTAGTTTTGGGATGCTTTGTTACGCAGCAATAGGCAACCAGAACACATACCCTTTTTTCTATGCCTTGACTTTGCCTGTCCTGAAGCCATCTTGGTTGAGGTGAGGTTGTGGACCCACCTCTTACACCAGAATACCAGGTGGCACACCTTTTTCCTCACTCCTTCCTGTGACCTCTGGGGACACCATTTCTCTCAGGGCAGTGGTTCTAAACCTTGGCTGTGCGACAGAATCTTGGTGGAGGTAACTTTGAAAAATATGGGTTCTGTTCCAATCATTTATTGTACAACAAATCATCCTGAACCTTAGTGGCTTAAGACAACAGTAATTTACTTTGGTCATAAATCTGCAGTTTGGGGATGGCTTGGAGCTAAGAGCTGGTTTCTGCTACACACAGTATCAGTGCGGGCGGCTCAAAGGCTGGGAGCTGGGATTATCTGAAGCCTGGCACACTGGTGTGTCTGGTGGTTGAGGCTGGGGGTCAGTTGGGAACTGCTGGCAAGAGTATCTACATGTGGACTTAACATGTAGCTGCTTGGGCTTCCTCATAACATAGTGGCTGAATCCTTTTTTTTCCCCCCAATATTTTTATTTATTTATTTGACAGAGAGCCACAGAGAGAGAGGGAACACAAGCAGGGGGAGAGGGAGAGGGAGAAGCAGGCTTCCCACTGAGCAGGGAACCTGATGCAGGGGCTTGATCCCAGGACTCTGGGATCATGACCTGAGCTGAAGGCAGATGCTTAACAACTGAGCCACCCAGGCACCCCACATAGTGGCTGAATTCTTAGAATGAGGTCCCCAAAAGAACAAGGCACATGGTACAAGTTACATGGAGTTTGTACGAGCTGGTCTCAGAAGTCATGGTGTCACTTCTGCCATACTATATTGTCTGAGATGATCACAGACATCTCTCTGGGTTCAAGGGGGAAGAGCCTAGACCCATTACTGGATGGGAGGAGTGCCAACATCACTCTGTAAGAAGAACTTGTGGGAGGAAATCTATTGAGGTGGTTAGCTTTGGAAAATACAATCTGTTCCTGGAGAATCAGTGCTGAAGGTCTGGAGTGAAGCCTCAGGATTAAAATTTCCATGTTCTTGGGTGATTCTGAAGCATATCTAGGACCAGGCAATGGGCCCTTGTCTAAGACCCAAGGTCCCTCAATCCTGAGCTCAGAGCTGTCCCCGTTGGAGACATTGCAGAGATTGGCTGCTGCCCTGGGTTATAGTGTGACCAAGGGCCCTTTGGAGGGAAACCAGCCTCAGGCCAGCAGGGGGCACCCGAGGAGCAAGAGGCCTGCTTTTGTGGGTGTGTCCCTAACCTGCCCTTATTTATTAACCTGCCCAGACTGATTCAACCTGAGGAAAGTTGGAGAGTACCAGCTGATGGGCAGTATTTAGGAGTATTTTAGACTACTCCCTCAGCCCCTGGGAGTAGTCTAGGGAGGAAGGAGGGGAGGAGGCAGGGGACCTGGGTTCCGGTTCCAGCTCTGCTACAGTTTTTCTCTTTAGACTTGGGTAGGTGATATCTCCCCTCAGAGCCTCAGTTTCCCCAGGAGTCACATGTGTGGAGCCTCAGCTCCCATTCTCCTAAATGACCTGTGTGAAGTGGAACTGCTCTCCCTTAACAGAAAACCTAATGTGGCTCCCCATTGCCCATAGTCTTGGACTCCTGCCTGCCCTCCACACCTGTGTACCAGGGGCCCTGCCCACCACTCCAGCCTCATTATCCCTTACTTGAACTTGTCATGCAGGTTCCCCTCTGATCTTTTGTATATGCTGTTCCCTCTGCCTGGAATATTTTCTCTTGCTTTCACTGCCTGGCAAACCCCAATGTTTGGCTTTTGTCACCTCCTCCATGAAGCCTGCCCCTGTCTCCTTCTGCTAGTTACCCCTGCGATGTGTCCCTGCACCCTAGCCCCTTGGGTATTCTGTGATCTGCATTGGGAGCAACAGCTAGCTTTCTCTCAGCTGGGGGTATTGGTGGGGAGGGTGTTTGCAGACCAGAACAGCCTTTGGAATTAGTCTGGATTTCAGTCCAGTGCTGCTGCCACATACTCGCCTGTGTGTGACCTCAGGCAGGTCGCCCCACCAATCTAAGCCTCAGTTTTCTCATCTCTGAGTTGGGGATCATGATCGCTAGACAGAATTCTCACGATATTTTAAGGACATCAGCAACAGAAGCAGAGTCTGTGTGAAAGAGGTTTGAGGTGGGGTAGTTTTTAGAGTTTTCAGAGCCCATTGTTTCCATTGCCTTTATCGAAGAATGGGAAGTGGGGGCTGATGGCCCTATAGGGGAAGCAGAAATCCCCGTTCCGGGTACTGTAGGGAAGGGCTAGGCGTGTAATAGGGGCTCACATTCAGAGCAGGAGTTCTTCAAAGATTGAATGAATGAGTGGATGAATGAGTGAGTGAATGAAAGGAAGCAACTGGTTTCTGAATTTGGATATACCTTTTTGCCAGACCTTGTCTGTGCACGGGTCGACCCGCGGCCGAGGCGGGAAGTCCCGCCCCCAGGAGCCCTGCCCGTCTCCTAGCAACGGTCAAACATAATTGGCTCAGCCGAGGCCCGCGGGCCTTCCTGCCTGCGTCCGCAACACTGCGTCCTTGGAGCCTTCTCGCCTAGCGGCCGTGACGCCCAGGCTGCTGCCCAGCGCAACCCCTCTCAGGTACCGAAGGTCCCTCTCCTCCTGCCGCTCCAGCTGGGCACCCCCTTCTAAACAAAACGTTAGCCGGCCTTCCTCCTCCACGGACCCTGAGCTTGTGCCCTGAACCCAGCACTCAGGGCCCATTCGTGCCTTGCCTCGGGGGTTCTCGCCCTCTCTGACCTCACCAGACCCTTGCACGCACTGTCCTCCTGCCCGGTTCGCCTGTCTCTACATTGCAAACTCATCCGTGCTTTGGCCCTGCTCTCACCCCGACGCTTCTCCTAGTGGAAGCACAGGGTTCTCTCCCAGCTTTGCGGTCCTTGGGTAATTGCACTGACCTGGAGCTGGCGTTCTGGAAGTCCCGGTGATTGACTTGTGAAAGGAGGAGCAGCTGGGACTGGGGGAGGATAGAGACTCAAGCTGGAGAAGCTGAGGTTGCTTGTTTTCCCGATCACTGCAAGCCACCATTCTCAGTGGTTCATTGTTGAGTGCCTACTGTGTGCCAGGCAGTGTCCTAGGCCTTGGCCGTTCAACCCAGGAAAGGACAAGGGATGGGAAGGTGGGTCATCCTGAAAGAGGCAGGGCTTCCCTCCTGGGAACAGAAGGAGGTGACAGCAGCACCTTTATTTTCTTGTAGCCAGGAGTGCCACACCAGTGGGTGCTCAGCAGAATGTCGCTGAACGCCTGGGAGTGGGAGGATGAGGACCCGGTGAGCATGGGGCCCATGTCCTCCATGGCCAGCTTTTACCAGTCTGGAAGTGAGTGTGATGTGGAGGAGTACCTGAAGGTCAAAGCCCAAGCCCAGGAGTCGGACTCTGAGCACCCCTGCAGCAGCGAGTCCTCATTTGGGCTTGCTAGCACCTTCAACTCCGATGTGCCCCAGGCTGTCCCCTGCAAGTTCATCATCTCACTGGCCTTCCCAGTGAACACTGGTAAGTGCTGGAGCAGAATCCTAACACCCTCTGCAAAAAGGGGTGTGCCCATAACCTTCCCCCAGAAGTTTGGGGCACCTGAGCTCCCTCCACTGGCTTCCCCAAGTGAGGTGTCCAATGCCAACGGCAGAAGTCAGGAAGGAAACTGCAATTTTAGGGGCCTGCTGTGGGCGGGGCAAGTAGGTGATTAATAGGCTTCCCGTGCTCAATCCTCTCAACCCTAAAAAGCAGGTGGTACTATTTCTGCTTTTTGCAGGTGAATGAATGAGGAAGAGATTACAGAATTGGTTCGCATAAGCTGCCTGTGCGTCCCCAGATTCCTTGTTTAAGTTCTCAGATGTATTGAATGAAAATCTCTGAGTGTTTGGATATATCGATTATCTGTTGCCCCCCAAATTCTGCGTAACAAACCCAAACAACTCCCCAAGTCAGGGGCCCCAAACAGGAATCCCTTGTTCTCCTGGATGAGCAGGTCAGCGGATCCAGGCTAGGCTTCCCTCGGTGGCTCTGTTCTGCTCCCCGTGTCTCTCATCCTCCTCCGGGACATGTGGCTTAGCCAGACACAGTCTTGCTGAGGAAAGGCAGAGACACCTGGGAGGGTAAGCCCAGACATCCAAGAACTCTTCTGGCCTTCGGGTACCTCCCACCTGCTCACAGTATTTTGACAAAGCAAGTCCCATGGTTGGACCCCTAAGATCAGGGGCAGAGAAAAGAACTCCACCTTGATATACATTTTTTTTGTCTACTTGCACTACCCCCTGAAGATTAATTTCAGCTTCTCCTTGTAGTTCTATCCATTCTTGCCTCTTTGGTTAGACACATACTATGTTTAGAATTGACCTGTCTTCTTGGTGACTTGAACTCTTTACCTCGAAGACCAGGGGGAGGTAGGCAAAGCGCCACAGGTGAAAAATGTAAGGAGGCACATGCTCTCAGCGTGATGCAGTGAATTTCTGCCCTCTGTTACCCCACTGGCTAGGGGGCCCCGACCTGCCTCTCAGCCCCCCAGGCAGGGCAAGCAGCACGCGGTGGGCGGCCTCCCATAGCATCAGGCTCTTTCTTGTTTCCAGGGAACCGTGGAGATGGATGTGCTTTCCCATGTGAGGTTCAGCCAAGACTCATTAAATCCATGTCTTCCAGGTTATAAAGGAAAATATACAGGTTTGATGGAAAAACATAAGAAACACCCTAAAATGGACAAACCTGCTGCAAAGTTTCGCCGTTACTACCACATTGAGTATTTCCTTCTGCCAGATGATGCGGAGCCTAGAAAGGTTGACATGGTGCTGTTTCCCCTGGTGGCCAAAGTGTTCCTGGACTCAGGAGTAAAGGTGTGTGTGTGTGTACCTCGCATAGAGTCTGCTATGGCGGAAAGTGCACTTGCTTTCCCTCGGAGCTTGCTAGAAATGCAGGGTATCATGTTCCACCCCAAACCTACTGAATGAGAGTCCACACCGACCTAATAATATCCATTACCGGACTTTCCATTTAGATATCTTTTTCTAGTCATTTCTTTGGTGTTTTGAAACATTTTGCCGCTCTTGTGATTTCCTTCTCTGCATGAGTACCCCGTGTGTCAAGGTGTGAGCACACCTGCCTGCTAGGACACACACACACACACACACACCCGCCTGCCTGTGGCCCAACTCTGGTTCAGTGCTTGGAAGTCACTGGAAAGGGCAGGATGGGCAGGTAATTGCTTTGACTCTTTTTTCCGATAAACCCAGAAGTGTGACAGGGCCCCGGCCAGGACACCGATCTCCTGAAGTGAGGTGGGAGAGGGGGAGCGCCAGGCCCAGAAGGCAGACAGGTGGAGAGCAGTGCCCTGGAGGGCAAGGCCAGTGAGGGTGGGTAACCTCAGGCTGCTAAGCCCCCTAGTCCTGCACACTTAAAGCCTCTTGGTGTTCTTTTATACAGACAGTGAGGCCGTGGCATGAAGGGGACAAAGTCTGGGTGTCATGGACCCAAACTTTTAACATCAACGTGACGAAGGAATTACTCAAGAAAATAAATTTTCACAAAATAACCTTGAAGGTCTGGGACGCAAAGGACAAGGTTTCAAGAAAAGTCCGGTATTACCGGTTAAAGAATACTGGGTATTCCGAAGATATGGGATCTTTCGGTAAGTTGGGTATCCGTTTTATTTGAAACACTTCTACCGGCGTGTGATTTCTCACCAGGAGCAGGATCAAAGCCAGTGTCCCCTCTTTTCCTTCATCTCACCTTCCTGGGGCACATGTGGTTTTGGGTGTCAGTCCCTCCAGGACAAGCTTGAGCTTCCGGAAGTACTGCCCCCTGGAGTTGTGTCTGAGGGTGGGCGGTGTCTGTGCATGTGCGGCGCTCACCACCTCTACCTTTGCCGCATTTCTGGACTTCCTGTCCCCAGGCAGCACCCACACGTGGGTTTCCCACTGGCTTGTCTCCTGGCTGCGTATTGGGTGGTTTTGGTTTTTTTTTTTTTTTTTTTAAGGATTTTATTTATTTATTTGACAGAGCAAGAGACCACAAGCAGGGGAAGAGGTAGGCTGAGGGAGAGAGAGAAGCAGGCTCCCCTGCAGAGCAGGGATCCCGATGTGGGGCTGATCCCAGGACTCTGGGATCATGACCTGAGCAGAAGGTAGACACCTAATCATCTGAGCCACCCGGGTGCCCCATACTGGGTGTTCACTGATGAAAAAGACACCACGAAACAAGAGAAAACTTAAGAATCCCATGACCCTGAGACAACCATATTAATCTTTTCATAGAGACCCTCTAGATTCTTATTTGGGTAAATATATTTCTTAAAGATTTTATTTATTTGTTTGAGAGAGAGGGAGCACAAAGAGGGGATGGGACAGAAGGAGAAGCAGACTCCCCACTGCACAGGGAGCCCAACGCAGGGCTCTGTCCCTGGACCCTGAAACCATGACCCCAGCCAAAGGCAGACACCCAACCAAACTGAGCCACCCAAGTGCCCCTAGGTGAATATTTCTTCAATGCCAGAAAGTCTCTTTTTGAGCTCACCTCCAAGGAGAGCTAGGGAGAGTGGAAAGATCCAGGCTTGTAAATCAGCTCAATTCAACCTGTCTCCCATCTTGAACTAGCCAATGACCTTGGGCACCCTCCCACTTTCTCTTCTTATATGCTTCAAGGCAGGGTAATGGGAGTGTACCCAGCCCCCAGCAATGAGAGAGTGTGTGTTGTCTGTATTTAAAAATGAAAATGCTGCCAATTAAACTATGCTGTGGCATTAATTGTAAGACATGTCCAGTTTTGAGAAACGTGAAAAGGTCATGGCAATGTGCGTCTGAGAATGGATGGAGTCTGGTACCATTATCACTGTTGTTGGTGGCTCCAGACAAGTATAGTTATTTTGCAGTGAGCAAAGGAGACTGACACCTGCTCGAAGTGTGTGCAGCGCCTGGATCAGAACCCATTTTTTTGTGTGACTATCAGAACCCTCTGCTTTCTCCAGCTTTCCAGCCTGCCTTCTTGGGGAGGCTTTCTGGCACAGACACTTGGCCCTTCTGACTGTTCATTTTTCACTTATATCTGGGTTTTCTTACCCTCGGTGCTGTTGGCATTTTGGTTCAGATCATTTCTTGCTGTGGGGGCTGTTCTGGGCTCCACCTGCTAGATCCTGGTAGAAGCCTCCCAGTTATGACAACCAAAATTTTCTTCAGACATTGCCAAATGTTTCCTGGGGAGGGGAGCAGAATCACCCCTGGCTGAGAATCACTGGTTTATATCTAAACTACTCACTGTAGGGTTTCTGTATGAGAAAATGGCATTCAAAGAGACTTTTCTTACTTGGACCCAAGGAAAGACCCATGTCTTCAAAGCATGGGTTTCAAAACCACCTGTGTTAGTTTGAAATGCTGCCCAGGGTGGGAGGTTGGGTGAGCCTGGTGGTGGGTATTATGGAGGGCACGTATTGCATGGAGCACTGGGTGTGGTGCATAAACAATGAATTCTGGAACACTGAAAAGAAATAAAATAGAATTTTTTAAAAAAAAAGGAAAGAAAAAAGAAATGCTGCCCAAGTGCAGATCCCAGGGTCTGCTCCAGAGCTGCTAAACCAGAATTTCTGGTAAACATGTGCCCCAAAGTGAGCTCACGTTGGAGCACAGGTGCTGGAGCAGGTGTATGGGGCCATGGGAGCCAAGCCTGGAAAGGTAAATGAAATCAGCTGGCCAGGAAAGGAAGGAGAAAGTGTGCTGTAGGCCCTGCAGGGAGGGCCATGGGCCTTCGTGAGTGTACTTGAAAAGATAGCACTTGGTCTTCCCCAAGCCCTATCTCACACCTGACATCACAGCCTCTTATGTTAAATAATTTCTTTCCATAAGCAGTGTATGTTCACTATGTAAAACAGTTCAGAAATTGACTAGCACAGGAGCGTCTGGGTGGCTCATTTGGTTGGGTGTCCACCTCGTGATTTCAGCTCAGCTCATGATCTCGGAGTCGTGGGATGATGGTCTCGGTGGGGAGGGGGTCTGTGTCTCTCCCTCTGCCCCTCCCCACACACGTTCTCTCTCTCTTTCTGAAATAAATAATCCTTAAAAAAATTGACTAGCACAAGGGAGAAAGAACTAAGATAACATGATGCCTGGACCAGAGGCAGTCATTGCTAACATTTATCTGTGCGTCTTGTGTGTAAGTAGAAAGAACATTTTAATAAAAATGCATCTGGTGTGCTTTTTGTCTTAAGTCCTTTTTTCACCTTAAAATCTGTCTTCTTGAAACTCTTGTCTGTGGGAGGAAACAACAGCCTGAGAGGTTTGGCTCATGTTCCAGAGAGGATAGGAAATGTATCTGGATGAGCTATAGGTCCCCTGCCTGAACTGGTTAATTTTCAACCTGTTGCTGGTCTCGAATGGAACATTCCATCAAAAGTCAACATTCCTCCTCTATTAAATCTCCTTGGCTTCTTGGTTTCTCAGTTATTGGACAAAGACTGCATCGTTCACGAAGCCCCAGAGTCATGCATGACCCCAGCTATGCCTTCAGCTCTTGGCTGTCCCTCCAACCAACACCTGATTGGTGTCTCTGCCTCTGTGGGGCCCTTTGGGACTCTCTGCCTCTCAGCTGGCTCCTGCCTCGGCATTTAGGTCTCTTCTCCATCTCCTCTCTCCTACTGCAGTTCCCTGACTTGTCTATAGCCCTGCTTTGACCTTGGCACTCCATTGTTCTGCACCTTTTTATGGCTGTCTGGTGGCTTGGGGAACCAGGTCCGTCTTCTGAGTCTGGCCTTGAAGGCATTCTCTAATTTGTTCCCCAAGCCTCCTTTCTCACTGCTATTCTCACCTTCACTTCTGGTCCCTGAAAACACGAGGGTTTTCCTGGTTGTGAACCCTGCCTTGAGCTATGGGGCCATACCCAGCGGGCTCTTAGCCTCCTCTCTTTCTCCACAATCAGTACCTGTTCTGAAACACTGAATCCAGTCACACCTCTTCTTTTCTTCACCTCTTCCTTGTAGCTTCCATTATCTGCATTCATTATTCCTCCCATGTTGGTTGCTGCTACAAGCATACGGAGTCCTGTATTGATAGAATGAAGGAGAGAGGGCTCATCTCCCTAGCTGGCTTCGAGGAGCCCTGGGGGATAGTTCTGGCTCAGTAAGTACCAGTTCTCTGACCACAGGAAAATTACATAAGTGTCATACTCCCCACCTGTAAAATAGGGGAAGTGGGAGTGCTTCCTTCACGTGAAGTGCCATGATCAAATGGAAGGACGCATGTCAAGTACTTAATGGTCTTGTTTGGAAGAAGCCATTGCCAGCTGAGGTTTGGGTTTCCTGGCATTTTGAAGCAGTGCCTAGGCGTCTGCTCCTGCAGGGCAGGGGCCCTGCCTCTCTTATCCGCCTGTTCCTTCTATAGCCCTAGGAGAGTGCCATACACGTAGACGGTGTTCCGTAAGTATTTCTGATTGGTTTGAGTCAATGGTTCTTCTCCTGTCTTCTAGAAGAAGTGAAAAGTTTGGTTTTAAATCAGAGAAGATTGTCTGCACAGGCCCCAGACATCAAAGAGGAGTGGAACCAGGAGGATGCACAAGATAAAGCAGAAAAAGCAGGAAAACACATCAAGTCTTTGCGTGGTGAGTGGAGATGACCTTTGTGGACAAGTTGGGGGAAGTCAATGGCAGGGAAGGGGATAGATGGGTGTTGCTGGTGTTGTGCATGTACACTGGTATCCTTCCTATGTATCAGCAACTCCTGCTGGTTCTGGTTCATTCTGGAAGGCATCACTGCTCTCAGTGCAGGAATCATTTTTTGTGGTTGGTCCTTTTTCTTTTCTTTTTTTTTTTAAGTTGTTTTTTTTTTTTAATTTGTCAGAGAGAGAGAGAGAAAGTACACACAAGCATGCAGAGAGGCAGGCAGAGGCAGCGATAGAAGCAGGCTCCCCGCCGAGCAAGGAGCCCGATGTGGGACTCGATCCCAGGACCCCGGGATCATGACCTGAGCCGAAGGCAGTGGCTTAACCAACTGAGCCACCCAGGAGTCCCGGTCCTTTTTCTTTGTTTAATTTTTATTTAATGACTTACAAAACTTTTCTAACTGTAGAAGTTACATAGGTGTGGTTAGCTTTTAGAAAAGTCAGTGACTATGGAAAAATATAAAACAAGCAGGGAAAACAATCTGTAGTTCTATCACCAGGAACAAGCATTATAATATTTTGGTTATTATGTTATGGAAAATTCCTTTGTTGTAAGATTTTTTTTTTTACATAGATAGGGTTGTTCTGAATACATACTTTTGTATTCTGAGATGAATATGTACCTACATGCACTTTCCTATTTACTTAAGAACCTATTTACTAAAGAATTCCATAAACTCCATTTGTGGAGTCCATAATTTTTCATCTGCTGGTAGCATTGTAAGATTCTCTGTAGATGGGGACGTAGGGATCTTGGGAGTGTTTTCAGTATTCTCTGATGTAAACAATGCTGAATTAGACAACTGAATAGATAGTGACTTTTTTTTCCTTTTTTTTTTTTCCACCCTCCATGGGGTGTTACATAAGAAATTGGTGGCTTCCTCTTGCCTCCATTTGTCCAAATAATCCTCATTAGTCTGTGCATTCATTTGTTTACTCATTTATTATTAACCAGCCTTTTTATGCTCACCGCTGCTTGGTGACTGCCATTACAAAATGGGTAAAGGACCCTCATTTCTTAAGGAACTAGAATGGACCAGGAAGTCCATTTGCTAATAAATATTATTATATTCTCACCCAGCGGAGTTTGAAACTTTTCCCAAGATCCCCGAGGGAGATGAGAAGGTACTCAGAATGGAAGAACTTGCCACAGTTCGGTAAGGATGGAACCATGCTATTTCGGCAATTGGGAGTGGAACCCCCTCTTGCATAAACCATACAGTGTCTCACCGAGAGTCATGTGGATTTTTAGTAACTTAGCTAAGTCAGAGCTCATGCATTCCAGGTGAAATTAAAGGAACAGAGAAAGGAATGCTTGTGTTTATGAGCGCAGATATGCCCTGTGCTTTTGCACATGTTGGTTTACCTCAATTCTCATCATGGTCACTCTGAAAGATGGTATTATTACTATTTCTGTTTTCTTCATAACATAACAGAGTGGTTAGTGATTTGCTCAAAGTTTTAAAACTGGAATTCTTGGGAATCTTGGGAGTGTTGGTAAAGCCAGGACTCTAGGACTTCAGAGCACCAAGTCCATAGCCTTTCCTGCTATGAGTGCAATTGCTCTTAGAGCCTAAGAAGGATCTGGAGATTCCTTGGATGCCGTGGGGACCAGAGGTTGAAAGGAGGCCCAGCTGGAGGCTTGGGAGAGTGGGATGGGGGAGAACCAAGAGACTGTGTCATTAGAAAATTTTGACTTCTAAAAAATTGTTTTTTTTGTGTTGAATTGATGCATTAATTTGAGAAGAACTGACATTTTTACGTTCTGAGGCTCTCCCATGCATGATCATGGTATATCTTTTCACCTAATTCAGCTCCTCCTTTATGATTTCTAATAGAGTTCAAAATTTTTTTTTCTTCCTATAGATGTTGGATAATTCCTGCAAATGAATTCCTGGATATATTGGAGTTTTGACTGCTTTTATAAAAATATATTATTTTCCATAGTATTTCTAGTTAGAAATTGATAATGCAAGTGTGGTCTGCAGAGCAACAGCATCAGCATGACTGGGAACTTGTTAGAAATGTGGACTGTCAGGTCCACCCCAGGTTTACTGAACCATACCTGCATTTTCTTTAACAGCATTTCCAGGTGATTCATATGCACATTGAAATTTAAGAAGCTTTGGTTAGAGGAATGCGATGTCATTTCTTAAAGATCTGCGCATGGAAAAAAAAATAAAATCTGCTCATGGGACACCTGGGTGGCACAGTCAGTTAAGCATCTGCCTTTGGCTCAGATCCTAATCCCAGAGTCCTGGAATCAAGTCCCACATCAGGCTCCTTGTTCAGCAGGGAGCCTGCTTCTCCCTCTGCCTGCTGCTCCCCCTATTTGTACTCTCTCTCTCTCTCTCTCTGACAAATAAATAAAATCTAAAATAAATAAATAAAATAAAAATCTCACATTTGGTCCAGTAAATAGATTCTTCGGTCTGGTCCCTGCTTTTTTTCACCTTCATTTATTTTTCTCTCTGTGAATTTTCTAGATGGAGTATTTCAAGAGAAACAGCTCTTTCTTTGGGAGCAGCAGTCAGCATGGAGATGGAAGGAGAAGATCATCATGAGAGATCATCATTTAGCAGCTTAACAAACATGTTAGAAAAGCAAAAATTTCAAAGTGAGTTAGGATGGGATTTGGGAATTTTATAATATAACTAGACTTAGAAGCATTATGAAATATTTCAAATTCAGAATACCTCAGAAAGATTGTTGATATGTGACCACATGTTACTTGAAAGTAAGAACACTACATACCCTTTCAACTTACCCATTCTGTCTCACCCCATCCAGCCATTCCAACCCACCTTCTCCCATTCATTTACCTGCATCATCCCACCCATTTGCACATCAGCCCTTCCCACTCCTGCCAATGCTTCCACGCTCCTGACTTACGATGTCCTGAACGTGGGGAGTATGGAAATCTCTAAAGTTGACTGTAGACTTTCAAATAAATAACTGCATTCCTATGTGATAGATGCTGTGGTAAGTGTAGGTAGGTATGTTGAAGAAGCAAAGAGTCAGCTTTATAGAAGGACTCTCAGAAGATAAGAAGTTCTTCACTTCTTATGGTAGAACGAGGGAAATTGCATCCCAGGTTGCAGGAACCACTCATGCAGAAGTCTGTAGTCTTGGTGACACTGAGAGGCGAGGGTTCTCAGAAGCTACTACATTGACCTCTTCCTTCTTTTTTTTTTTTTTTAAGATTTTATTTATTTATTTGATGCAGAGAGACACAGTGAGAGAGGATATGGAAGCAGGGGGCTTGGGAGAGGGAGAAGCAGGCTCCCTGCTCAGCAGGGAGCCCAATATGAGGCTTGATCCCAGGACCCCGGGATCATGATCTGAGCCAAAGGCAGACACTTAATGACTGAGCCACCCGGGTGCCCTGACCTCTTCCTTCTTAACCTTGTTCTCTTCACCAGTTTTTCAGCCAGCAGTTAGGTTTCCTGTATGAGGTGGAATATTCTAGAACTGGTGCACTTGCTGCCTCCTGGGATGGCCCACTGTACTGTTTGTACAGCTGTAATTGGTACAAATCATTTCCTTAACTCTTTATCCATTAAGTCCGCTTTTCCTGGTTCAAGTTCAACACTCTGAAGCTGCAGAGAGGAGTGACTGCTCCACGCGGGCTCTCTGCCACGCATCGGAAACACAGTTGCTCACATTCCCTTTTTAAGGCCCTAGAAGACTAGTCCACGCTTTCATATTGGAACCCCTTCGGCTCTTTGAAAAGTTTTCTCTTTTCCAGATTAAATAGCCTCACCTTTTAAAAATATTCTTTAAGCATTTGAATGAGATTTTCAAACCATCTTTTTATTTTGGGAAAAAAAAAAAAAGAACACCAAAAAAATACAATGTATGTACAATTTAGGCGTTGAGATTTTGCCACATTTCCTTCATTTTTCTTGCTCTTTCCCCTTCTTTCTTTCTTCCTTTGTTTCTTTCCTTCCTTTATTCCTCCTTCCCTCCCATCCTCTCTCCCTCCAGCCCTCCCATCCTCCCTTCCTTCTTTCTTTTTGAGAAAAAGTTTACACGTAGTCTCCTTTGCATCCTGTGCTTTTAAGAAGCATCCCCTAGGGGGCGCCTGGGTGGCTCCATTGGTTGAGCATCTGCCTTTGGCTCAGGTCGTGATCTCAGGGTCCTGGGACTGAGCCCCGTGTAGGGCTCCCTGCTCAGTGGGCTGTCCACTTCTCCCTCTCCTGCACCTGTGCTCTCTCTCTCTCTCTCTCAAATAAATAAATAAAAATCTTTTTAAAAAAGCATTCCCTATCCTACATAGAAATTGGTGTGACCCTTTCCTGCCACCCCATTCTTTTTTTTTTTTTTAAGATTTTATTTATTTATTTGACAGAGGCGATCACAAGTAGGCAGAGAGGCAGGCAGAGAGAGAGAAGGGGAAGCAGGCTCCCCGCTGAGCAGAGAGCCCGACACGGGGCTTGATCCCAGGACCCTGGGATCATGACCTGAGCTGAAGGCAGAGGCTTTAAACCCACTGAGCCACCCAGGTGCCCCCTTCTACCCCATTCTTTCTGACATATTCAATGTTGTATTGATTTTTGTTTTTATGAGTTACAGAAATGGTTTCATACTGTACCTATCTTCCTGCAACTGGCTCTTTGCATTCAGCTTGATTTTTGAGGTTATTTGTGTCCGCATGTCTAAGTCCAACTCCTTCCTTGTAAATTCTATAGAGAGCCCCATTGGAGGGCTGTGCATTCCTACACCCATGGACTCCCCACTGAGAGACATTTGAGTCGTCTCCAATTTCCCACCGTCACCAACACTGTGATAGCGATCCTCCTTGTGCAGGTCTCTGTGTGTCTGTGCTACAGAGCCTAGGGCATTTGCCCAGGGGGGTCAAAGGGCATGGGAAATGCACCTCGACCCCTCAGGAGGTATTGCTGGTTTTTATTCTCTGGGTTGTACCTATGTGCCCTCCTGACAGAAGTCCTGAGAATTCCAGCTTTTCCCTGTTATCAGTCATGCTTGGCATGGTCAGGGTCTTACTTCCTGATTCCTTGTGGACTCGAAAGCATCTCCTATGCTTATTTGGTTATAATCTTACGTAATTTGGCTATTCCTGCTTCTTGGCTTACTTTTCTGTTTTTTTTTTTTTTAAGGATTTATTTATTTATTTGACAGAGATCACAAGTAGGCAGAGAGGCAGGCAAAGAGAGAGGGGGAAGCAGGCTACCTGCTGAGCAGAGATCCCTATGTGGGGCTTGATCCCAGGACCCTGAGATCATGACTTGAGCCGAAGGCAGAGGCTTAACCCACTGAGCCACCCAGGCACCCCTTTCTGTTGAGTTTTAAGCTTTTCTTTTAAAGATTTTATTTGTTTATTTGAGAGAGAGGGAGAAATTTGAGGGAGCAGGAGAAACAGACTCCCTCCTCAGCAGGGAGCCCATCTCAGGGGCTTAGAACTTGATCCCGGGATCCCAAGATCATGACCCGAGCTGAAGGCAGATGCTTAACCGCCTGAGCCACCCAGGCACCTCTAGGTTTTACATTTTTTTCTTATGGATTCAGAAGCTTTATTCTTTACATCTTCTGATGATTATGTGTGATCACTTACGTACCCTGTAAACACCATAGGCTGGGGTCTGTAAGTTACCCGTTTACTCTTTGTGTGCTGCTTTTGCACACCAGTTATGTAACTATTCCTTTCCAGTTTGTACTTTCCGTGATATTTAAGAAATCCTTCCTCATCCGGACATCAGTAGAGTCTCCTGTGTATTCTTCTAATTAGTTTGAAGTTTTTTGTTTTCCACCGTTAGTCTGCCTTTCATTTTGCCTATGGCACGAGATGCCCGATAATTTCATTTGCCTCCAGATGGGAAGTATAATTAATTGACTAGTCCATCCTTTCTCATTAATCTGAAATGCCACTCTGGCATCTGTTAAGTCCCCTATGTGTGCAGCGTATTTCTGGGCTTTCTATAGTCTGTTCCATTGGTCTTTGTATCATGGAACAAATAGCTTATGGCTTTAATTACCACAGATATATATATATATATATGTCTTATTGTCTCCTCCCCCACCCCTGGATCTGAGCTTGGCACAGAGCTGAATATTTTATGTACCTTTGCTCATTTACTCTTTTCAACACCCTACAAGGTAGGCACTACTATCCCCATTCTACAGGTGAGTTGACTGAGGCTCAGGATGGTTAAGGAAGGGGGAGACTTGATTCTGGAACCTTGGTGGTCTGACTTCAAAGCCCAAACCTCAGCCCTACCCTGTGGTTAAGAGCTGACGTGGGGGAGGAGTTTGGTATGTGGCAATGTTGCTCTTCATCCAACCTCGGCCCCCTCTGCCCATATTCTCGGGGCGGACTGGCTGGGAGATCAGGATGGCCCTCACGTTCTTCCTACATGTAACTGACAACCACTTTGTCATCTACGTGTAAACACCTCTTCTGGTTGCTGGGGAAGGGTGGCAGCATAAAGGATGGCCTCCGCCTTCCAGGGTCTTCCAGAACCTCTTTGAGTCTCTGTAGCACGTATGCATTCACATACGGGAGCTTGGATATGAGCTCCTTGGAACGCTTGTTTCCTTCCTTTGATTTCACAGTTAAAAGGAAAGACTCAGAGGGGAGAAAGAAGAGCCAGAAGAGAGGGAAGAAATCTCAAACAGAAGAGGAAACTGACCTCAAGATGGAAGGAGATTGGAAGCATGGTACCTTCTCCACCGAGCTAGCAGTGATGCCACTCCTCGCAGGTGGCTACCCCTGGTCCCAGCGGGTCTTGGTTGTTTTGTCCCATGTGGCTAGAATGTCCATAAACAGGATGCCCGCATTGACCAAGCCTCTGTTCTGCCACCTAGCTTCATGCCCACAGTCACTTCAGCAAAGTGGAGGTAAGTGTCTCTGTTGTACAGAGGAGGACAAGGAGGCACAGAGAGGTCAGATGTATTGTTCGAGATCACCCAGCAAGTAGGGGCAACGCCACGGTTTGAACTCAGGCCTGATTCTGAAGAAACTGGTGAGAGTAATTGTGCTAATTTTGTTTGCTAAATAAGATGCTGCTTTTTATAAGCACTTTCTTGCAGATGTTTATGAAAGCATCTAGTGGAGGAAAGCGGGGAAGGAGCCAGTGTTTCCCTCTGGTCCTTTACTGCTCATGGCAAACTCTGAGCTTCCCAGTAAGCTTGTAGGAGTGCTGTCAGGGTGCCTGTTCTTGGTTCTGTGAGGAACAAAAACTTGGAGAAGGCAAAGCAATTCACTTGAGATCACATAGCTCAGGGGCAGAACTGGGGTTCCGTTCTCTTGCTCCGTAAGATTGATCACAATTTGGAAACTAGGTTATCTACGGTTTGACAAATAATAAGTAGGTATGCGTGTTATATCCCTAGGTCTTGATAACGGAAAGCTCACAATGTATTTTGGGTAAAATTACATGACTTTGTTTTTAAAATAGTAATATGGGGGGTAACCCTCTTTCTTTTCAGAGAAAATCGTTTCCAGTCTATTTCATGGTTGGTGGGCGGGGGGGGCGGGGGCGGACGGGAGAGGGTTTGTGGTTGGCTATTAGGGTGAATGTGCGCCCTCTACTGGCCAATATGCAGAAATTGAGGCTACTGTCGAGCTGGCGCAAACCCTTGCAGTGGCTTGCGGTTTTACCCCATAAACATTACACAGGTGCCAGGAAAATCGAATGCTCACAAGCTCTTGTATTGACAGCTATTCGTTTTTGAGGAAATACCATTAACTTTTCAGTTTTCCTTTTTAAATGGATTTTTGAAAGTCAGCTTTCACCTGAAGTTGGGCCTTGAATTCAGACTGTCTTAGTTTTCCTGGAGCAATGGAGTCTTTTCTAGAGAAGTGAATTTTCAGAGACGCTTACCCCCTCTCAGGCTGTGGTCCAGGAGGACCCAGCCTCCATACCGTGGTTTCAAGCTCCTGCTCGGGGCACACATCTCTGGGGCAGCTACCTTGTGGGCTGAATCCCGAAGAGAAACTGGTGCCTAGAGGTGGGTGAGCTCTGGGTGACCTATTGACTTTGGATCGAGGTTGATTTTGCTTCTTAATTTTGCTGTGGGGGGAAGGAGAAGCTCAGATGGTCTCAAACAGCCTGGCGTGACTTTTTCCAGCAGGATGAAGCCCGGAGGTGTCTGTTGGCTCCCCCCCGCCGCCACGTCAAACTGTGCTGTCACAACCCTATAATGGCTCAGTGATTCCAAGAGCACCAGTGACAAACAGACTTTGAATCTTGGCTCAGCCACTGCCCAGCAAGTTGGCCACTTCCTCTGAGTCCTTCAGCTCCGTGTCCTTATCTGTAGAATGGGGGGAGGATTTCTACCCTGGAGTGCTGCAGTAAGGGTCACGTGAGATAATGTACATAAATTTGCACACAGTAGGACTCAGAGAGGTTACTGAAGTGGAGCCGCTTCTGTCAGAACATTTGGGTGGGCTGGATACCGGGCGCTGGGCCTCCAGCAAGAAAGAAAGACAAGCCTCCTTCCTTATACCGATATCACGGTTTATGGTCCTCAGCTAAGAAGGGCCTTGGCTCGGCAAGCCAACTGGATGTTTGTTTTTGCCATAAAATAACAGCATAAGATCATTCTAAAACCAGCATGATAATTTTTGCTTATCATCTTTGATTTCGAATTAGGCCCTAGGCTTTGCATCCCTTAGTGGTGAATATTGGTTGGCCAGTAACCCATTACGATTCTAAAAGGACTCTGGAATGATCTCTTGATTTTTGTTGCGTAGTGGAGGGGCCAAGTGTTGCCAGGCAGGACTGGTTTGGACAGGCGTTCCACACTTCTTGACTGAGAGACCTGGGATGCTTTCTGAACATTTCTGGGTCCCAGTTTCTCTGTCTAGAAAGCAGAGATGCAAGCAGCCACACAGGGCTGTTCTGAGGACCCATGACTTTAATGCACACTGGGGTCTGGTCAGTGTAGATGAACGCTCATTGCGGGGTCCGTTCCCAGGCTCCTTCTCTCTTACTCCGGAGCAGGGCTTCTCAGCGTGGGCACTTATGCCCCTAGGGGGACATTTGGTCATATGAGGAGGTTTTTTTCTTTTTTTGTTTTTTTTTTTTTTTAAGATTTTATTTATTTATTTGACAGAGATCACAAGTAGGCAGAGAGGCAGGCAGAGAGAGAGGAGGAAGCAGGCTCCCCGCTGAGCAGAGAGCCCGATGCGGGGCTTAATCCCAGGACCCTGGGATCATGACCCGAGCCAAAGGCAGAGGCTTTAACCCACTGAGCCACCCAGGCGCCCCATGAGGAGGTTTTTTTGGTTGTCACAGGTGGGAGCGGAGGGATGCTGCTGTTCCATAAAGCAGAGGACGGTCCCCACAGCCGAGAATTCTCTGTCCCCAAGTATCTGTGGTTTTGAAGTTGTGAAACCCTACTCTGGAATTATGGCTGAACCCTCCCTCACTTTCTGAATGGTGGTTTGAGTGCACATTGGTGGTGGAGATATCTTCCATACTGGGCAGTCTTTTTCACGAAAAGGTTTACAGAGTTCTAGAATACAAGTCATGATTAGTTATGGCCTTGACGAGTCAGCTTTGTTGAAGAGAAAGCTGTGGGAGCCCTGAGAGCTGTCCCCAGCAGGTGCACATGGCCCCATGGTCACGGCGTTGGGCTCAGCCGCACACCCGGGGCCCATAACTTATTTTGGAAGGGAACCTCTTTGCGAGTGTGAGTGACTGGGCCTTCGTGTGCCCTAGAAATTTACAAACCTCGTGAAAGGAGCAGAGCTGATCTTTCTGCATGCCCACTAGCCTCTTCCCGTACATATACCCTCTTAATCACCCTAAGCACGGTGAGATCTCTGCCCATATGAAGAAAGGAAGCCCCTCAGGGCCTCTGACTTCTTGTAGGTCATGTGACTACAGTGCGAGCCTAGGCCTCTCTACTTGTACAATGGAAGATTTGACCTCCCCCCAACTCCCAACACCATTCATTATTTCTCCACCTGGTATGGACCCTTTTCAGGAGAAAAAGATTCTCCCAGTTACGTGTGCCCCACACAGTGGCTCCATTCACCCGCCCTTTTCCCTCATTGCACTACTGCAACACGGCCCTACCCGAAGTGTGCTGTGCTCAATCCAGCTCTGTCGTACCAGTTGTGTTCTACGTCCGGAGCTGCGCTTCTCTGCTTGGACCACACCCATTAAAGCAGCACCACCGGCCACCACAACAGACACCCCGGCATTCCGTGCTCTCGAACGTCTTCTAAAGTCATTGCCTGAAGCAGCACCGCCCAGAAGAGCTTTCTTTGGTGATGGAAATGTTCCAGATCTGTGTGATCTGGTCCAGTAGCTCATAGCTACACATGACTACTGGGCATTTGAAATGTGACTCCTGTGATGAAGGAACTGCATTTAAATTGTATTTAGTTTTATTTATTATTTGTAAAGATTTTTAATTTATTTGTCAGAGAGGGAGAGACAGCACAAGCTGGGGGAGCTGCAGGCTCCCTGCTAGGCAAGGAGCCCGATGCGGGGCTCTATCCCAGGACCCTGGAATCATGACCTGAGCTGAAGGCAGATGCTTAAGCCACTGAGCCACCCTGGTGTCCTGCCTGGGGAGCTTTTAAAAACCCTAGAGTGGAGGCTACATCCCAGACCCAGTAAATCCGACTGCTTGAGGGTCCCACCTAAGCATCGGTATCCTTGTAGATGATTCAGGAAATGCTTAAATTACAAGATGGTCATCAAGATTAAATCACAACAATTAAATTCTCTTAGGGAGCTTATGGGACCTCAGTTTGAGAAACTGACATATAATGTGCTGACAGTAGGTGTTTGCTAATTGTTGTTTTTTGGTTTTGGTTTTTTTTTTGTTTTTTTTTTTTTTAGTTTTCTTCTCTTGGTTATAATTTATCATTGGCTCTTCTCAGGTTGCCTGATCCCTCTGTACTTGTCTTGGAACTGTCATGAGTCACAGTCTAACACTGTCTGTATTTCCCTTCTGCCCCCTCCAGGATGGCAAACTATTGTGAGTCGTGGTAGGGGGAAGTCTGCCAGCATTTTAGATTGTTTTTTGACTTTAAAAACAGAAGGTCCTATCATGACTGAGGAGCAAAAGCAGGACTTAAATCCCTTGACCATAAAGATCAAGTGTGTTTCCTGCCTTCCGTCACAACCTGTTCCCTTCCATGAACTAGAGGTAAGATTGAGTCAGAAAAATTGATTGGAGAGCGCTTTTTCCCATCCGGTTGCCCATTACATGTCATCTCTAATTCCCCACAATGGCCTGCTGTGAGATGTTTTATCATCCCTATTTCACCATTTAGGCTCTCACAGCGAGATATGAGAGATCAGGTTCCTTCCTGGGTTTAGGAGCTACTAACGCTCAATGTCTCCCTACTACACGACAGATGTCCTTCCAAGGCAGGTAGTGAGCCTCCCGTCAGAAGAGTCCCCAGGCTTCATGGAGACAGGAGCATTGCTCATGTAGATGCTCACGCATTTTGAACGAACTGGGTTTAGCACTGATATTTACCCTGGGAGTTTCTTTCTTCTTCTTCTGGTGGGATCCTTGTCTCCTGGATTCTGTCTTCCTTTTGCTTTGTTTGCTGTCTGGTTTTGCTGAAACACATCTTCCTATAGCTTTTTGAGGAAAGGTTAATGAGAGAGATTTGTTTTGAGGTCTCATGTGTCTGAAAATATCTTTATTCTACCCTTACTCTTGATTAATAGTTTAGCTGGGTAGAGAATTCTCATTTTTCTTCAGTTTTGAAGGCATTATGTTTTATGTTCCATGTTGAACCTTTGGATGAGCTTTTTTCTTTTCTCAAAGCTGTAGAATCTTCTTTCTGTTTTCAAAAACTTCTTGATTAGGTGTCTTAGTGTGGGCATATCCATATCCATATATTATACTTCCATTTTGAAATAAAAATTCAGAGAAAGTTGCAAAGGGAGTACAGAGAGATCCTAAGTACCCTTTGCCCAGTTTTTTTCCAGTGGCTATGTCTTATGTAACAATAGTATAATATCAAAGTCAGGCTATTGATAAATGTGTGTGTGTAGTTCTCTGTCATTTTATCACATGCATGAATTTATGTAATTGTCACTGCACTTAAGATACAGAACTATTCCATCACCTTAAGTCTGCCATTTTAATATTAGTTTTCTATTTTCTGTTTCTTTTGTTTCTTTGTTTTCTTTTTCCTGTGGTCCTGTGGGTTCTTTGAAACTTTTTAGAATTCTATTTTGATTTATCTGTAGTATTTTTGAATGTATAGGTTTTTAGTGGTTGCTCCAGAAATTATATTATGCATACATAACTTATCACAGTCTACTGGTGTCAACATCTTTCCAGTTTGAGTGAAGTAAGAAACCTTACCTTCCTTCAAATCTGTTTACCCTATCTCATTTATAATTGTCTTAAATATTTCCTCTATATAGACTGAGAACCACTTCAAAATGTTTGACTTTTTGCTTCAGTGGTCAAATGTAATTTAGAAAACTCAAGAGGAGAAGGAAAGTGTATTGTATTTACCTATAGATGTGTTCTTTCTAATGTTCTTTTTTTCCTTTCTGATGTTCCAAGATTTCCTTTTCTTTTGCTTTTTTTTTTTTTAAGATTTTATTTATTTATTTGACAGACAGAGATCACAAGCAGGCAGAGAGGCAGGCAGAGAGAGAGGAGGAAGCAGGCTCCCTGCTGAGCAGAGAGCCCGATGCGGGGCTCGATCCCAGGACCCTGAGATCATGACCTGAGCCGAAGGCAGCGGCTCAACCCACTGAGCCACCCAGGCGCCCCTTCTTTTGCTTTTTAAATTATTTCTGTTTCAAGAACTAAATGACTAAAGTCATTCTTTTAGGGTAGATGTTATGACAACAAATTCTCTTTAGTTTTTCTTTGAGATGTCTTTATTTCTCCTGTATTCCTAAATGGTAGCTTCACTGGATTTAGAATTTGGGGTTGACATTTCTTTTTCTTCAGCATTTGAAAAAAGTTGTGCCACTTCCTTTTGACCTCTATGTTTTTTTTCTTATGAGAGATCAACTGTCATTTGAATTATTCTTTCCCATTGTGCTGGGTGGCACTTAATCTCTTGCAGCTTTCAAGTTCTTTTTTCTTTGTCTCTGGTTTTTGAAAGTTTGACTCTGATGTCTTGGTGTGGATTTTTTCGGGGTTTATCCTGTTGGGTTCACTCAGTTTTCTGAAACTTAAGTTTATGTCTTTTGCAAAATTTGGGAAATTTTGGCCATTATTTCTTAAAAAAAAATATATATAATTTATTTATTTATTTATTTTAAAGAGAGCAGGAGAGGGAGGGACAGAGGGAGAGAGACAGGGAGCAAATCAGACTCCTTGCTGAGTGTGGAGCCTGACACAGGGCTTGATCCCAGGACCCCGAGATCATGACCTGAGGTGAAATCAAGAGTCAGATGCTTAACTGACTGAGCCACCCAGGCGCCCCACCATTATTTCGTTAAGTACCTTCTAGCACTACCTTTTTCCTGCTCTCAGGACTCCAGTGTCATGAATGTTAATTCATTGTTACATCCCACAGGCCCCTGAACTTTTGTTCATTTATTTTTAGTCTGTTTTCCTCTATGTTCTTCAGGCTGAGTAATTTATATTGTTTTATTTTCAAGTTCACCAAGTCTTTTCTCTGTCCCTTCCATTCTGTTATTAAGCCCGTCCACTGAATTTTAAATTTTTAGGTATTGTATTTTTCAATTCTAAAATTTCCATTTAGTTCTTCTTTATATCTTCTATTTCTTTGATGAGACTTTAAATTTTTTTCATTTGATTCAATCATGTTCACACTTGCTTTAAATCATGTTCATGCTTGCTTTAAAATTCCAAACAATTCTAAGATGTGTCAGTTTGGTGTTAACATCTGTTGATTGTCATTATTCATTTAAGATGGGATTTCTCTGGTTCTTGCTATGATAAATGATTTTTAAAATATCCTGGACATATTAGATATTAAGTTATCCTATTTAAGTCTTATGTTTTAAATCTTCTGCCAGTGGAAGAAGGGGAATGCTGTCTTATTCCTGTCAGGTGGAGGTGGCAGTCCAGGTTCGCCACCCAACAACCATGCCCTAGGGTCAGATAGCCTTGCTACTACATGCTTCGCACATGACCTTGGCTAACCACCACAGTGGTGCGGAGGCCACATAAGTACTGGATGGTGAGGCACAATTTTGGCCTCTGCCTCCCTTGATGCCTTGTTACTGCTGGGCAGGGATGAAATCCTTGACTCCCCACTTGATCTTTTCTCATGCCACCCAAGTGAGGGGAATTGCTACAGTCGGGCAAGGGTGGAAATCTGGGTTTCCCATTTGACTTTGCTTATGGGAGTGGGTTGGGGCTGGTTTCCTTCATGGTGCTTGCCTGAAAGTTTTCTGGCTCACTAAGCTGCCCCATTCTTATTTCTTTGGCTGGAGAGAGCAGACTTTGGGGGGATTTTCCCCCCAAAATCCCATTAACATTTCTGAGTTTCTGTCTTCTCCAGCACTTAGTCTAGAACATATGAGGCAAGTAGAAACCCCAGAGAATTCATCACAGTCTTTAACCTTCATCTCTCCATCCTTCTGAGTCTCTTTATGTTTGTTTTATATATAAATCCCAGAGTTGAAAGCATCTGTACTTAGCAGGAGAAATGGGAAAAAGTGGGTTTATTTCATTGTGGTCCAGAATAGGAAGCCTGTAGGTATATAGATATACATGTACATTTAAAAAATTTTTTAAGATTTTATTTTTAAGTGATTTCTGTACCTAATGTGGAACTTGAACTTAAAGCCCCACGATTAAGAGTTGCATGTTTCGGGGCACCTGGGTGGCTCAGTGGGTTAAGCCTCTGCCTTTAGCTTAGGTCATGATCTCAGGGTCCTGGGATCGAGCCCCGCATCGGGCTCTCTGCAGGGAGCCTGCTTCCTCCTCTCTCTCTGCCTACTTGTGATCTCTCTCTCTCTCTGTCAAATAAATAAAATAAAATCTTATTTAAAAAAAAGGTGAAGACTTCATCTTAAAAAAAAAAAAAAGAGTTGCATGCTTCACTAACTGAGCCAGCCCTAGGTGTAGATATATTTTGTTTTTATTTTTTTTTTTTCATTTTAATCACTTGGTGCTCATCATGTGAGATGCACTCCTTAATCCCCATTACATGTTTTACCCATCCCCCTCACCTCCCCTTTAGGAATCATCAATTTGTCCTTGGAAGTTAAGATTCTGTTTCTTGCATTGACTTTCTCTTTTTCCCTTTGCTCATTTGTTTTGTTTCTTAAATTCCACATATGAGTGAAATCATATAGTATTTAACTTTCTCTGACTTATTTTGCTTAGCATTGTACTCTCTGGTTCCATTCATGTTGTTGCAAATGGCAAGATTTCATTTTTTATGGCTGAATAATATTCCATTGTATGTATATACCACATCTTCTTTACCTATCCATCTATCAAGGGACACTTGTGCTGCTTCCATAATTTGACTATTGTAGATAATGCTGCTATAAACATCAGAGTGTATGTATCCATTTGAATTAGGTTTTTTTTTTTTAATTCTTTGGATAAGTAGTGCACTTGCTGGGTCATAGGATAGTTCTATTTTTAACTTTTTGAGGAACCTCCATACTGTTTTCCAGAGTGGCTGCACAAGTTTGCATTCCTACCCACAGTGCAAGAGGGTTCTTCTTTTTCCACATCCTCACTAACACCCATTGTTTCTTGTGTTTTTTATTTTAGCCATTCTTTTTTGGGGAGGCGGGGAGTGTGTGAATATGGGGGGAAGCACAGAGGGAGAAGGAGAGAGAGAATCTTAAGCAGAGTTCATGTTCAAGGTGGCGCCTGACATGCGATTCAGTCTTACAACCCTGAGATCATGACATGAGCTGAAATCAAGAGTCAGATGCTTAACTGACTGAGCCACCCAGACACCACTGATTTTTAGCCATACTGACAATGTCTGTTCGTGTCTTCTCATTTCTAAACTGGATTATTTTTGGTGGAGGGGGTGTTGAGTATAAGTTCTTTATATGTTTTGGATAATTTTATCCATTATATCATTTGTGAATATCTTCTCCCATTCCACAGGTTGCCTTTTAGTTTTGTTAATTGTTTCCTTCCTCATGCAGAAGTTCGTTTTTTTTTTTAATGTAGTCCCAATAGTTAATTTTTGCTTTTGTTTCCCTTGCATCAGGAGACAT